GGGGGGGGGGGGGGGGTTTTTGGGGGTGTTTGAAATCAAACCAGCTAAAACCAGCCAAGGTCGAGAAATAACGGTATAGAGTAATGTCTTTTCTCCCGCTGGGCTCCCAGCCCAATCCTGGTCAACCCGATGATTGAATTAGCCAAGATCCTGGTTTTGCACAAAACCCTGGATTTACACATTAGCCAAGACCTCGCAAAACTAACCTAGATTTAACCAAGCGTGGCCAGTTCTGCTGCCAATGCAGCCATGAGGTCCTGGCACGACCCTGGGGAGAGGAAGCGGCTTAAGTGAACAACCGTGTCCTTTCCTTCCTACCTCGCAGGGTTGTTGTCAGCCACAGCCCCTGACAAAATACGAACGTTATTAAACTGCGACTCCAAGTACCATCCACACCGCCCCAAGCTCCCCCCAAAAGACCTAGGACCCCTCAGCCCTCCCCTACCGGTGTCCCCGATGATAACGTATTTGAAAAGGTAGGCATATGACATGGCGCTGAAGCCCCCCGAAAGCCCAGCCCCAACCGCCTCTTTCCTCCTCCCACTGGACGCTCTGGTTTTCCTTTTCCGGTTTTTTTTTTTTTTTTTTTTTTTCCGGTAATGTCGGAAGAACCTTTGTCTCTTCCAAGGCCGCTCTGGCCTCGGAGGCTGCGGCGACGCTCTCGACAACTCGGAGGTACAAATCCACGGCTCCTCTCTTATTCAACCGTTGGGGCTTCGGTTTTACGTCACATCCGGAAAGCGCCGCGCTGGACTAAGCCTTCTTCCCCCTCTGCCTTTAACTCGGTGACCGCTCTACCGTGTCCTCTTCACTGCCCCTCGCGGGGTTGTAGCCGCTTCCGGCTCAACCCCTCAGCGCCTTAACGGCTCGGGTGGGGCGCTGGAGGGGAATTACAACCCGTGGGAAGACTTTGTCCCTTGTTTCCTCCCCGCCTCCCACCCCCGATTTCTCTCCCCAGGTCTCCCAACGCTCCATTGACAATGCCGAGGGAGGAAGGGGGCTGGAACGTTGGGCGGAAGTGACGTATCCCCGACCGTCGCCTGGGTGGGCGGAATAGATTCCGGTTCCGGTCTAAGAGCCTGGAGGAAGAAAGCAAGGGAGGGGGAGTCTGGTGGGGTCTCCCCCTCTTCATCGAGGCTCCTAAGCGGTGGCCATGGAGGTGAGGGGCCGAGCGGGGGGAGAATTAACGCCTGTCTGCCGCGGGGCGGTCTTCGTTGCTGTCAAGGAGAGGGGCCGGGCGTGTGTCTGTGATGGAGGGGCTGGCATAAATGGAAGTGTAAGGTTCGATGGGGCGCGATGCGGGGAGGTCGGTTCCCCTCAGGTCCTCAGCTTGCTCTTTCCAGCCCTTTCCGGAATTCCCCTCCCTCTCCGAGAATGTGGGACTACAACTCCAATGGTCCTCAGCCGCCCTCTGACCCAGTCCTGGCAGGAGGGCTCCCAAGACGGGGGGATTGGCAGATGCCGTTGGGGGAAACGGGTTTCGCTGTTCGCTGTGCCACCTCCTGGTTCACGCTGCCTGCGTTCACATGATCTTATGAACACGTGCGTCCATCGAGGCCGTGTGGATAGATTAGAGTTCACAGCGTCATACAAACCTAGAACATCGGATTAATGTAGAAAACAACGGCTCACACAGCTATGGGAACGTGCCATGCCACGCACAGTCGTTCGTCTCTATTATAGCTTCGACCTCCCTGCTCCAGGTACCTCGCATTTTGAAGGCTAAAAGCTCGGGATGTGAAGATAGTATTAGTTCTTGGGGGCTAAGAGCCTCCTCGTGCTTCCTTGATGTGATCTGCATCGGTGGCATAAAGCAATAGAGGAGAGATAAGATACAGGTACTTGGTGGAAAGAGAACGGAGGAAGGAGGGCTTCATTGGATCAAAGGAGCATGGATCAAAGGCATGGCTAGAAAGCGCGGAAGAGGATAATGAGAGAAAAAATAGTTAATCCTGAAAAATGTGATGGAATGAGTATGAAAAATACTGGATGTAAACAAACACAGGATAAGAATAGTGTGTTCAGGAACCAAACACAGGTTAATCACATGCTGCAGGAAAGAAGCCAGCCTATATTATCGGAGGATAATAATTATGGATTGGGTGTCTGAAATTTAACATCAGAAAGAAAGCCTTGACGTTATTAAAATTCATTCGTTTTCAGTTGTGGCCATTTTTTCTCCTAGAGCAACCTGTAAACTTTTTAGGCTAAATTGCTCCTGGGGAATTTTCTGAAAATGGTTAGGAAGGAGCTCAATTTCTGTATGAAAATGTCTATGATCCTTTGGGATCTTTGTTCAGTTCTTCCTGCATTGTTATAAAATCACGATCCAACTTTGCATTCCTGCTGCAATATTGCTTTCAGGATTATTGGGTAGTTTAGGTAGAACATTGGGCACTTTGTGCTTAAGCCCTTAAAGTTTCCTCTTGGACAAGAGATGCTAGATGCATTTGTTTATGGATCTCTTCACTTCCTAGGGTAGGATGGGTTGTACTCAATTCTGTGTGTGGTAAATCTCTTTGGTTTATGTTAATCCTCTGGAATTCTTCTACAGACACACAATGGAGTGTTTTATAGTTTGTTCTCCTGTAACTCATGTTATTCTTTTGTTACATATTTGTCCCAGAGTACTGGTCTTGAATTTCTGTGTGCATACACACATGCATGTTGCCGGGAGGGAGGAGTTATGAGACCCAATGTACCTGGGCCCTTCCACGCCTATGATCCTTAATGAAGCTGTGCCCAAAGGGAACATCTTATTACATGTAGCACAGCTCATATTACTATAGAATGTTTCTGACCTGCATAATAAATGGGTTGCGCCACCCAAATAGGATAAATTGTCATATTTTTTAATATCTCAAAAACTGAGGTGGTGCTGTCACCTCTTACGTGCAATGAACTCCAGAACAAAAATATGTAGAACACCAAAACGCACCTGAGCATTGGTGGGTGCAAGATGATTCCCAGTTAAACACTGACCTGCTCCTTCCAACTGTGGTCATTTCTTGCTCTGTTTTTTTACTGCAGCGGATTTGAAACTTTCTAACTGCATGCTGAGGGCTGCTGTGTTTAGCTCCGGGTCTTTGAAGTAAGCCGACTCAGCAGGTTCTGAAAGACTGACAGTGTGTTGAAGTAATGTCTTAATATGCGATTATGCAGCAATGGTGGTGCAAAGAGGAGGATTCATGGGGTGATGAATGAGCTGCTGGTTTCCCTGAATCAGTAACAAGACCTGTCTCTGCTATTATGCTTTTATCAGGTGCTCTGACTGCAGATATTAGCAGTGAAAATGCTGAGTTCTGGGCTATAGCAAGCTTCATATACAGAGTCCTTCACCTCAGCAGCTGTTTTTTTTCTTGGCTGGGGAGCCTATGCTTTGGATTTCTGGAATTTGTGCTTAATTTACTTGTGAATTGGGTGGTTGTATCTGGTTCTTTCCAAGTAACACTATGAAGACTACGATCTGTGGGAAAATCGAAATTGCTGTAAAAATGATATTTCTGTTTTTTTCTCCCCCCCCCCCCCAAGTGCTCATGCACTGTGAAGTCCTTCCTGGCCCAGCCAACTTTTCAACCCTGGCAACATTGCACAAAAGCTTGTGATAAGAGAAACATGTTGTGGCACAGCTGGTAGCCTTTGTATGTAAACCAGACCTAGCTAGGCTGTAAGTAGAGAATCCATAGTAACTCCACTGATGTTTCACAACTTAAACTTTCCAAGTAACTCAAAGACAGCAACTTACAAAATAGTATTCACATTGAGTTGTCAGTGACCCTGTGCCAATCACTGGCTATGTTCTACATCACACTGTTGTCATATTGTTAACCATGGTTTGTTGAATAAGTCACAGTTGGGTAGGCTTACATGCCATGCTAAGCCAGAGGCTTAGGCTTCTAGACTAAGACAGTTGGGTCCACATTTTGCCTTAGACCAAAGTCAAACCATAGTGTGGTTTAGCCAAATGTCTGAATGTTGTCACTATCTCTTAGTCTAACAAATTTATACTCTTGTAAAGTGCCATGGGAAAACCATGCATGATAGTCTGACCCCCTTAGAGAAGGAGGCAGTGAACTCATTCTGTGAAAAAAAAAAGTTTTAAAACTGCAACAGTTGCAACTGAGTGTTTAATAAACTCTTAGATGTGGAAATACTGTGGATTTATCACAGCTGCTTCTGTTGTGTCGCTGGTTTAAAATAAGGGAAGAGAGGCTGATTGATTATGTTTTCCTTTCTCTCCTAAGTTCCCTGGGGGAAATGAGAATTACCTGGCTATCACTGGGACGACCCACCCTTTCTTGTCAGGGGCTGAGGTGAGATGGGAACCAGGCTGGTGTTTTGCTTGCATGAACTCTGGGAGGGACAGGGGTGGTTCTGCTGCATGACAGGAGTTGGAGGCAAATTGACTATCTGTAGTTTAGTGCAGAGCAGATAATTTGCATGCCAAAGGTTGCTGGTTTAAGTTGTAATGTTAGCTAATTTGTAATGCTAGGAGTTTCACAGCCAGGCACTTTCAGCCGGTCACCTTTCAAACATAGGCCACTTAGCAAGCTAATAGGCTTACATATGATTTATAAATGTAACCTGCCACTGGGAAGACCCTTCTACCTGATCTCCTCCCCCAGGCTGATGTGTTAAAAAAGTCTGAATGGTCATCTTATCAACCCACATAATGCCCCAAAGACACTGAGTCTGGTTCCTGGTTCAGCCCAGGTTATGAAGTTGAGTGCTCCACATAAAGCTTTGTTCAAGTGATTGGGGATTCTTTTATGGTCCCCTTCATAATCTCATCTGCACATATTTTCATTCAAACACACAGAAAACCCTGCAGATGTCTTCCCTTTTCCGGAGAGTCAACACATGTGCAAGATCTAAATTAAACCACGCTTTCTTGAAAGAATGGGGAGGAGACTTTTTGCATCAACACAATAAAACATAAAGAAACCCACAATGAAGAGTATGGATGGCATTTCTATAGAGCTAAAAACTACTGAGGTTTGGAAAAATTACCAAGCTGAAGGCCCAAGAAAATTGGCCGTACCAGTTTGCAGACCTGGTGAGATGAAGGAGCAGATGGGAAGCAATGTGCTGGAAGCTGGGTATGGAAAGGTTGACTGTGTATCTTGAGCTTCTGTGGATGATGAAATCCTTCTCCCACCTTGCTCAAAACACAATTCCTTTATTTGCTCAGTGTCCAGGCTGCTGGTGCTGCATTTTTGGTCCATTGGTTCTTTGCTTTGCCTGCTTTTGGCTTCCTCCTCTCTCAGATTGGTTACCTTATGGTCCTAAGTGGTGGTCTCATTTCAGGATTGGTTAATACATGTTCCGCAGCTCATCCTAGGTAAATGACCAGTTTCCAAGAATGGTGTTGAAGTGCAAATTAGAAACCTCCTCATCCAATCCTCCCAAGTCATTGCGTTCAGCGTCTAATTTCTTTGCTTACCTCCTCCTTCAAATTCTCTAAACCAGTGTTTCTCAACCTTGGCAACGTTAAGATCTTTGGACTTCAGTTCCCAGATTTTCCCAGCCAGCATGTTGGCTGGGGGAATTCTGGGAATTGAAGTCCACAGATCTTAAAAGTTCTCAAGGTTTAGAAACACTGTTCTAAACTACAGAGAATTTGTCACTTGTGCTTTCCTGATCCTTTATCCTGGTGGTGTTCCTCAGCTAGCAAAAAGGAGTAAGCCATGTTCTAGAAACTGCTCACCTTTGCAGTTTCAAGATGGGATAATTCAGCTCTCAGGTATACTTCAACAAGCAATTAAGACAAATTGCACAGCAACAAATTACTAAAACGAACTTCTCGCTGACACCTCAAGCCTATTACTGGACAATAATAATAATAATACATAATAATATAAGAGCTGTTCCTATCAATAGTGTGGTTGTAGGGAAGTCAAGAGAAACATTTTGGGAGAATGTTAGATTCTTCCAAAGAGTGTTGGGTATTTTGGGAATTTATAATAATGTTGATGGACTTTATATAGTATTTGCTCAAATACTAGCATGTAACATGTTTTGTCATATAGTATTGCTAATATATTGCATTGCTAATAAGTAAAGAGGGTAGAGGTTGGTGAAAAAAAATAGCAGACCTGTTATAGGTAAATGGCTAAAGATCAAAGATGCAAACATGAGGAAGCATCTGGGAAAGTAGGAATGCAGATTGCCACCAGGAGGACAAAGTGTCGTGGCCTCTCAGATAACCTCCACGCAGGTCTAGAAGGGGGACTGATTCCGGTAGAAGAGTGTTAGATTTGCATAAGAAGGGTGTTAGTTGCTGATTAGTCTGAACCAATCCTGAAATGAGAGAATCAGCTGACTGCAGACAGGAACCAGTCTGGAGTGGAGGGAAGCCAAGATGGGCATATGTGAGAGCCAATGAAGAAGTTGGTTTCAGGAGATGCTGGGCGGAAGCCTGGACCCTAAGAGGAAAAAGAATGGTGTTTCTGAGTAAGAACCAGAAGGCATTCTACTATTGCTGCACTCAACACAGAGGCCCATCCTCTCAACATACTCCAGCATCTTCTGCTTCTGCAACCCACGTTTCCAGGATCTTAAGCAGACTAGCTATCTGCCTTGAATTCAATCTTGGTAAATTTGGTTACAGACCGATAATGAAATTCTCTTACGGCTTTTTTATTTTGCCGGTGAATTTAATTCATTATATCCATGCACATTACTTACTTGATGCCTGGTAAAAATAGATTTATTTCAGTTTAGTTTTTGTATCTTTGTTCACCACTCAGACTTAAAAAGGAAGTGAGTCTGTGGGAAGGTTCTGCAGTTGCTGAGTTAGAAATAGTGCTAGAAAAGTTACAGTCCTTGATAGAAACACTAACTGAGCAATTGGATGTCATGAGATACATTTGGATTTGGCCAGACTCAGAGCCTTGGGGTATGAGGTGATCTTCTGAGATGTCTGTTATTGGCTTGATTATTTGGACTTTATAACCTATCAGCCGTGACGACATAGTTGAATTGTTGGCCTGTCTTCTTGGTGGCAAATTACATGGCAGTCATTATATAATGGCACTTCTGGATTTATTTGATTTCCTTACAGTAGCATTAGTCCTTGGCATTGGGGAGACTCTTCCAGGTCTTAATAGTAAGGACAAACCACATCTCTGTTTCTTTCAATAATTGTAATTAATAATAATAAAAGAAAACTTGTATGCCGCCCGACTCTCAACAATTCTGGGTGCTTCCATGAAGTCACCAGGAACCAAACTTGACTTTTATTTTTTAATCTTCATTTAAAAAGGGTCAGCTCATAGATGAAAAGCTCTTTTCTCCTTAAGGTTCTGGGGGCTTCTATACTAATCATTGTAGGCATTACTGAGCTAGGTGGACAATGCCTGGCTTGTATTAAAATTTCTTTCTTCTCTTTTTGCCTCGCACAGACCTTCCACACGCCAAGTCTGGGGGACGAAGAGTTTGAGATTCCACCCATCGCGCTGGACGCCGACCCCTCCTTGGCTGTTTCTGATGTGGTTGGGCACTTTGAGGACCTGGGTGACCCCGTGACTGCCCCAGATGCCACTTTCTCAGCCCAGTATGGGGTTCAGGCCCTTGACATACCTGTGGGCATTAGCCATGGTCTTATGGAGCAAGGGGGCGGGCTGCTGAGTGGTGGGCTAGCCATGGTAAGCCAAACATAAGAGCATGGTTTGGAGAGATCGAGTGAGTGGAAGGGGATCTTGGATTTTATTGCTGATTGACAGCAGTTCATTCATTTATTAAGCTTATTATAATGTTGATTACCACAGTCTCTCAGCAGTATCATAAGTTTAATGAAACATAAAAACAGTAGTTAAAAATCAACATTTAAAAAAGATATATTTTTGGGGCTTTCATAAAGGCTAACGAAAAAATTCAGTCTTTCAGTTTGGCAGGGAGTATGTTCAGAACAATTAGGGTAATTTCAGTGAAGGCGCACTTTTGAGCCGCTATGAGATAGCGGGAGAATGTCCTCAGAGGGTCTCAGTGGGTGGCTGGAGGAAGAGGCAGGCAGACAGGAATAGTTGAGAAAGAGGCATTCTTCCTCAAGCTACATGGAGTAATAATCAGCATTTGGCATTTTGTCCGGAAACAATGTGGCAATCAGTGCAGTACTTTTAGTGCAACTGTGATCCTGTGGCTTTTGAGTATCTCCAGAAACTAGCCTGGCTGCTGAATACTGCCAAACGTGACATGAAGTGAGCCCCCTACCATGGTAGTTCTGTTGCATGCCATTGCATCACTTTACAGTCATTGTCTTCCAGGAAGGGGCACCATTGGAGTACCAACAAAGCTGATAAAAGGTGTTTCTGGCCATTATTAGAAGCTCTCTCGCACTGTGCACCTGCTCCTTCTGGGAAAGTGTAACCTGCTTCTGAATAGGGGGATCTACCACCTCTCTAGAATTAGGACTCCTCACAAGGAGCATCGCCATTTTTTCCAGATTCAGTTTCAATTGATCATACTTCAGCCAAAATTTGTGGCCAACCTGGCTTGCTAACTTACTTTTACCAGCCAGTGAATCAAGAGATGGTGTTTATATTTAAGTATTTGGGACCTCCAGTTAAGTCTTCCTTGTAACAGCAAAGACTGGCAGGAGAGTCCTTTGTCATCTCCAGACCTC